CCCCAGGGAGTCCCTGCGCTACACCCCCATCGCCGTCGAGCTCTGGCGCACCGCAGCCCGCGACTTTGAGATGGGGGGCTACAAAGTGACCAAGGGGCAGCAGCTGCTCGTGCCCCTCGGCCACGTCAGCAGGAGCGATCCCCGCTGGGCGGGGGAGACGGGGGATCTGAGCCCCGAGGTGTTCAACCCCGAGAGGATGCTCACGCCCGAGGGGCAGAAGCCGGGTGCGGGGGCTCGGCAGGGCCGTCGGTCGGTGCAATACGCAGGGCGGCGGCGGGGCCGTGACGCCAGCAGGTCGGGCCCGAGGCCGCCTGTGGCCTTGAAGCACGTCGCTCGTACTCCTGTATTGCTCAGGTGGAAGCGAGAGTCGCGCGCTGCCCGAGCCGCGAGACCTCCTGTGGACGCGCCCGCGGCCGCTCCCCGCCTCCTGCCCCCACCCCCCAAAGGCTGGCAGGTGCCCTTTGGCCACGGAGGCCGCCACTGCCTGGGCGTCCACCTGGCCAACGCAGAGATGAAGGTTTTCCTCGCCCTCTTCGCACAGGTGGGTCGAAACGGGCACGAGGGAAAATAGTACGAAGCTTGGGTGCCGGCGGCACCTTGAGCAGTCGTGGCGCACGGCTTTTGTGCTGCTTGCCAGGCTCACGGGCTGCCGGGGCCGCGAGCCTTTTGGTTTGAGGGCCCAGATCTCGGGGTTTGGTTGCAGCACAAGCGTCGCGCAACTGCAGTCATCCTGGGACCTCCGAGAGGGTATGAGCGCGGCATGCAGCATGCAGTGGCCCGCATGCCAGCTGTCAGACTGGCGGAATGCTTCAACGGCGCGCTCTCTGTTTTTCCCTCTGGTTTTTCTGCAGGGCTATGCCGCGCAGGTCGACACCAACACTGAGTGGGTGTACCTCGTGGGCAGGGTCCCCGTCAGTGGCCTGCCGACGCGCTTGGAGAAGCTGCCCGCGGCGGCGCCCGCGGCGGCGTGAACGACGCTTCGCAGCCCGCTGGGAGCGCTGGTGCACCCGCCAACCCCAACGAATGCGTTCAGGTTGTGTGCGACATGGTGGTGTCGACGCATCATCTGATGATTCACAGACACGTGCACCTTTAGTCAGGAACTCATTGTTTTACGGCGTGCCGAGGGGTGTGCCCCTCATCGCTGCAGAAAAGTTCATGTTGTAGCGTCGCAGAACGCACGCTGTAGGTCAGGCGTGCGTGCATCGACGGGCGTGGATGGGACGGCCGCCTGCTGCTGCTGTCTGGTGTGCCGGCGTCGGCGTTCGCACGGTTCCTGCATGCTGGCCGCGCTGTAAAGTGTCACTGGCTGCCACGCTCCAGTGTCAGCGGCGCTGGCGAGATTAACATCATGGCTTGTGTGCGCGTCGCAGCCGGGGATGCAGTGAAGCCCTGGCAGTTGCAGGCACGCGCAGTCACTGATTAGTCATGCTGACACCACGAAACGGTGATCACCATTGCAGGGGACGAAGCGGGGGCAGATGCATGCGGCGCGACCGACTATAATCACTGTTTTTACCACATTTTGCCTGTGCCGCAAACGCTGGATCGCAAACCGCGTGCGCCCTGTGCCATCACCATGTGCATTCGCCCATCGTCCTGACGTGCTCCTCCTGAGCCGCCCAGTGGGGGTCCGATGAAGGCCATTGCTGGACATGCGGGCCACCAGGGTGATTTGAGTACGATAATTGTTTGTGGCACGCATCGCCATTTCTAAGCACCGTCGACCGTCTGCGCACTGGGGAGATCTGCAGTGTCCTAGCCGAACGAACTCGCAAGATCGCACGGTGAGCACTTTAAGCGGCCTTTCGGGCTGTTAAAGATGTATTCAAGTTGCAGGCAGTAAGATGGCTTGTGGGCGACACAACTGACAGTGCTGCGCCCGGCGCACGGAAGCGCGCGCCCCGGCTCTCCGGCGCGGGCCGCCCAAAAATGATTCGCTGCAGCGAGCCGGCAGGACCCACCTCCGCCTGTTACGGCCCCACTTACTGCAGCTCCAGGACTGGCTGGTCGGAGGGCGCATGTGCTTATAGCCAGCCCAGCAATCCCGATGGGGGTTGACCTCCGGCAGGATTGGGCCGGGCGCCGCCGCCACCCGCACCCGGCAGCGGCGCCAATGGCTGCGAGCTTGCTGCTGGCCGCAGCTGTCTGCCTGGGGTCTGCGGCGGCCACTGGCGCCGCCGCGCCGCCGGGCACGTGCATGCGGCGCCGGGAGCCGTGGCGCCCCGCGCCCGCAGTGTGCGCCATCCCGCCTGAGCTTGTGCATTTGGGTCAGGGGCAGCAGTGGGGCGGGCGCACGAAAGGCAACAACCAGCAGCTGCAGCAGCAGCAGCAGCAGCAGCAGCAGGCATCAGACGCAGGCGTCCAGCTGGGTTTCTGCGCCGTCACCGGTGACGCCGCGGGTGACGCCGCGGGTGCCGCGGCCGGTGCGAGGTACATCGTCCGCTTCAATGCGTACAGCGCGGCGGATGACCTGCGGCGGCAGCTGCAGCAGGTGGGTGCGCGCGCGTGCTGGTGGCGGAATCGGTCCTCTGATGATCGGGCGGTGTGCGGCCGCGTGAGAGGATGAGGGACGACGAGCAGATTGTGGCAGCTGCGGCGGCCCTCCATGCGTCGCCTGGTTGGAACTCGCGCCTCAGCAATGGGGCCGCCGCCGCCACGACCGCCCTGATCCACAATCCCCACAGGCCCTCGGCCCTGAGCAGGAACCGGCGCGGGTCGCGGCCTGCGGCGGAGACAGTGGCCCGGACGGCGGCTGCGACCCGCCGCGCGCCGCATCCCGCAGCGGCCGAGCCGCCGGCGGCGCCGTCGGGGGCGGCGGCGGCGGCTGGCGGTGGGTGCGGCGAGACAACGCGGCGGCGGCGCACAAGACAGACTTTGGACTCATCGAGCTCGAAGACGCGTCGGGCGCGCGCGCCGCTGAGGCGCGGCTGCGCCACGCGCTGTCCGGGGCGTTCAGGGGCCTTCACCCAGACCGCCGCTTCGCTGTGCGGCTCAAGTCCTCCCCGCAGGAGGAAGCTGCCCGGCAGCCGCGGCAGCAGCCCGAGGATCGCCGGCGGGCGCGGCGCCTGACCGCCGACGAAGAGCCCTCTCCGGCCC